CAGCCGGCATAGGCTGACCCCCCTCCCTCTGACCACCCCCTCCCCTTGACCAACCCTCCTTCCCTCCCCCCAAGAACGAGTATAAAAGGACTAGCGCAACGCGAGGGAGCTCAGTATCAGAGTCTCCCAGCCCTGATGAAGCAAACTGCAACGCTTGCGAAACGTCGGCACCACACTGCAAACGGACGCGGCAACCATCCGGAAGCCATGAAGACTAAAGAAGACAACAGCCGCGAAAGCCTGAAAGCCAAATAACTAATGTTCGAGTTCCGCTCCGATTCGACATCGTGGCGCGATCTCTGGTCGCTCATCGCTGCGGGTCGCGCCGCGATGCTTTCGTGCGTCGCGTCCTCGAACTCGCACCGTTTGGACGCGTGCTCCGCGTGTGATCGGACAACCGGCGGGTCTCGGGCTTTCACCCATTTGCTAGCTGGATCGCGTGAGCTTTTCCACCAATCAAGCTTCGCTTCATGTTTCGCGCGATCGCGGAACCGTTCGTGATCGAGTCAGTCGCTCTGTAAGACCGAGGCAGCAGCCATCTCCGCGAATCACTCCCTGAGGCCCGTAGTCCGTCTCGCTACTGCGTGTGCCCGCTACGGATTGTGCGTTAGATCCAGTGACTCCAGCGGAGGTCACTGGACTTGCCGTATTACTCGCGTATTACTAATTGTCAGTGATTAATTGTGGTGTACCCGAAAACACAGTCGCGTGTGAAGGTGTAATCACTCCGGGGTCGGACACCCCCCCCCCTTTTTGCATCAGCGGCTGTTCGCGAGCGCGAGTTTCCCCCTGCCCGCGACAAGAACACCGTCAGCGCGAACAAGATCTTCCGATCGGTAGGGCGATTATTTGTCGTCCGGCAAGATTTCCGTCGCGCCGTATGAAGCAGGAGTTACGGGAAACTTGAAAATTTCCGCCTCCGGTATTTGCAGCTGCTGGTGCCTCTGTGCGGGGTGATTCGAGCCCATGCTCCGACTTTCACCGTTGACTTTGGATAATAAATATTTCTGTTTCTCGAAGTCGGTTCAATATCACCCTCTCTGTGTGTGATTTAATCGTTGCTCGACTCCCACTGTGAATTCTCGAATTCGCGCTACGCTTTCTCCGCGCTCAGCGCTGAGTGGTTCCGGCGTTCTGGAGCGCGGTTGTTGGTCAGCGGAACCCGCGACCCCGCGCTAACATTGTTGGTCCTTCGAGCCGGATCGTGAGATTGCGTGTGGGAGTTCTTCAACGATTACCTTCGACGACTTTGCTGGTGGATTGCTAATCGACCATCATGAGCGACATTCTCGCCAAACAGAATGTTCTGCAGCGCTCGATCGAGCGGGCGCTTGAGAACTTCAAGAAAGTCGGGAAGGCCAATCTCACCCCCGCGAAGATTCGCACTCGGATGAGTGCGCTGCAGGCCAACTGGACGCTTTACCAGGACGGCCATGCCCACCTGCTGACGGCGGTTGCTGAGCCTGCGCGGGCTTCCCTGGCCTATTTCCACGAAAATCAGTTTGATGCCACCGAGGATCTCTACCAGACGACCTGGGAATACATGACTGAATGCCTAGAGGAGATCGAGCCGGTCGTAAGCCCCAGCCATTCCCTCGATACAAGCGTTGTTCGCTCGGATATTTCCGCGTTATCGATCTCGCAGCTTCCTCAAATTCGTCTCCCCTCCTTCGACGGGAATTATGCAGAGTGGGAGTCATTTCGCGACCGATTTAACGCGCTGATAATTCAGAATAAGTCTCTCGGTGATTTCGCGCGCATGCATTACCTCGCGTCTTCGCTAAAAGGGAAGGCGCTCGATTGTTTGAACAATATCGCTGTCACTGCTGACAATTTCCCCATCGCTTGGCGAACGGTGACCGCGCGATTCGAGAATAAAAGGCGAATCATTGCTTCTCATTTCTCATCATTACTCGGGTTGACCGGCCTAGCTCGCGAGTCCGCCTCCGAGTTGCAAAGTTTGTGCGACAAGGTGGATATTGCCGTCGCATCGCTCAGAGGTCTCGATCGTTCGCCCAGCGACCTGTGGAACGATTTCCTCGTTCATTTACTCTCGCAAAATTTAGATCCCGCTTCGCGAAAGGCGTGGAACCTTAAAACGAGTGATACTGACTCTCCTCCTACGTACGCGGAGCTTGTTCGCTTTCTCTCCATCAGAGTTCGCGCGCTCGAAGAATGCCACCCGACGGCTAACGCGAAATCGCCGAAAGCCTCGACTTCGTCTCGCGTGCATGTCGCGAATGCGTCCGCCTCGCCGGCGGCGACTTGCCCGTTGTGCAAGGCGCGTCATTACTTGAGCGCGTGCTCAAAATTCGTCGGACAGAATCCGAGTCAACGCCGTGACACTGTCAAGAAGCTTAAGCGCTGTTTCAATTGCCTCAGCGCTTCTCATGCAGCTAATGATTGCAAAAGTCAGTATACGTGTCGAATCTGTCAAAAGCGACATCATTCAATGCTCCACCTTGACTCGAATTCTGATCCGACTGCAGCCGCTCCCTCGACGATTGTCGCCCCATCGGCGCCATCCGTCACGCCCACCAGTGAGGTGACATCCTTACTTGCGGCTGCAAGACCGCATTCTCGTGCGCGGGTTTTACTTGCCACCGCGAGAGTCAGGATTGATGCCGGCTCTAGTCGCACGATGATCGTGCGAGCCTTGATTGACCAAGGATCAGAGGCGACCTTTATCTCCGAATCACTAGCTCAAAGTTTACGCGCTAAACGAATTCGGATGCCAACTACAATTTCCGCCGTTGGTGGAGTTCAGCTCGGCACTGTTCGACACGCTGCAGACATCACGGTTTCTCCCGCAACGTCTTCGGCTCCGTCGCTTTCAACCACGGCTCTCATTCTCTCGTCGTTGACATCTTATGCTCCGAGAAGAGTGTCCGACATTTCCACCCTCGCGCATCTATCAGGCCTATCCTTGGCTGACCATGATCCCACCGGATCCGATCCGATTCACGTCATACTAGGTGCTGACTTATACAGCAGTCTCATTCTTGACGGAATCAAAAGGGGTGAGGCCGGACAGCCTTTCGCTCAAAATTCTATCTTCGGATGGATTATTTCGGGTCCGCTCGAATCCAGCGTTTCCTCAAGCTCAGCGCATATGCATCTGACTGTGCATCATTGCCTTCCATTGAGCGACCTGAGCAGCGACCTCACTCGTTTCTGGGAAGTGGAGGAAGTCCCGCCTTCTCACGGTAGTGCGCCGCACGATGAGCAATGCGAGGCTCATTTCCGCGCTACGCACACTCGGGCTAACGACGGCAGATACATCGTTCGCCTACCATTTAAGACGGGTCCTCCTATTGATATCGGTCAATCTCGGCAGGCGGCGGCACGACTGTGTCGTTCGCTGTCGCGTCGCTTTATCACGCAACCGACGTTAAAGGGCGAGTACAGCGCCTTTATGCGTGAGTACGAAGAACTCGGGCATATGCGTCGTATTCCGGAGCCTCACGATGCGTCGCGGCCACCCGTTTATATTCCGCATCATCCCGTATTTCGATCTGATAGTGTCACATCTCATTTGCGTGTCGTCTTCAATGCTTCGAGCAAAACGTCCAACGGGACGTCTTTAAATGATCACCTACTCGCGGGTCCAAAATTGCAAACGGAGCTGCCCGCTATTCTTCTACAGTGGCGACAATTTCGATACGTCTATTCAGCTGATATCGCGAAAATGTATCGGCAGA